AATAATTTCACAGCATTAATTCTACTAGATGGCGACCCTTTTTTTTTTGACCCGGGGAAAATGCATTACGCACTATCCCTGTCGTCTTGACGGGACGGCAGGGTGTGTGTGGGACTCTCCCCCGCTGAAGGCCCCCGCCTAACCCACTAAAAACCCTGGGCATGGCCTCAGACTAGCAAAAGTTGATTATTGCAGGAAACGTATGGACCAAAGACAGTAATTTCCGTTCCTTTTAACTATCATATTAAAAAACTGAAATTTGCAAAGTTCGAAACTTAGATATCAATACAAATATGGAAAAGTATGAACAGATTATAACTTGTTTATTAAGTTTTGAAAACTTATTTACTTTTAAACATGAAAGAAAACCGGAAAGGTTGTCATGGAGAAATCGAGAACGTACCGTAGCAACATTTTGTTTTGATTTCGGGACTTATGTTTTTTTTCAATACTTCCTTATTGGCATTTAGATCCAACCATTTGTACTGCCATCTAGTGAAATATTTTTTTGTAGTTTTTTAATTTTTTTTTAAATACTTCCTAATTAAACTACTTACCTAATTAGAAGCTTAAAATATTGAGGTAGACATATCCGTTTCCCGTCGCATTTTACTTCTCTGTCTTCGCTATAGCTGTGTTTCTCTTGCACACTGGCGGGGCGCGGCGAAATGTTTGTTAAAATTTAAATAGCCAAAATCGCGCGAAAAACGCTTCTCTATGTAATGGCGCTGATCGTGACGTCACAGGGCAGTAAATATGTCAAATCGATAAGTCAAAACTGTCTTAAGTGGTGCGTAGTGCCACAATGTACTCGTACTAAAACTTCTATAAATAACAAACAAACTTCGAGTCTAGAAGAAAATAGATTCACAATCACAATAGATTAGTAGCTATATAGAGATAGGTGACACAATTTTTTTATTTCATATCGATACATTTGAAAGTTTTCTTTTTGGTTTTTTTCTATATCATAAACATTTTACGAATATCAGACCATGTCATACTATCAAACCTTTGCACTTCATATAACGTATTCAAATATTCCGTTGGTGTACGAGATACAAGCGGATCTTTTAATTTAGTTTCAAAATCAAAATTCAAATCAACGTCAGCAATGGAATTATTTAAATCATCAACAGTAACAGGAATATATTCATTATAAAGAGTACCACTAACGTCTGAGCAACCAATACATTGGCTCATCGTCAACCAAACATCGTTCCTTTACACGTAACATAATAAATAATTATATTAAAATTAATTTGAAATTAAGGTATTATAAGAAACAAAGAATTTTCGATACTCAATTTACTTTTATTGTGTCAGAAACAACTAAGAAATAGATAAAAATGTTCTTTTTTATCAAAATTTGTTTTCCTTCAATCAGTTGATAAAAAATATTGCAATATGTGATCATTTTTTTTGTTTCTTAATAAATTTCGAAAGATTTCACTGTATTTTATTTCTTTGTCAATTAATGCAAAAAAAACATCAATGTTGCCCAACACAAACATCCCTAGGGTGTATCACAGACTACGAAACAGAGTGGCTAAGACACAGACTATAGTATCAAACCTATTACAAATATCGTGTTATTTACGAGTACGAGTTCCACCGTACTGCGGAAACTTCACGACAACGCTAGACCATGAAGCGTTAGGGTTGTAGATGGGGGGTGAGAAGCACCCCCAGGCTTCAGGTATAAAGAATAAAACTAATAATAAAGTTTAACAATCTTTATTTTTGTTCTCAGGGGGTAGGTTAAGATATTCGCTCGTTATGGTTCTTGTTTCTATAATTACGAGGGGAGGACTTAGCTTTTAAGTTTTGCAATTAGTGAGGACTTCGCGGGTTCGGCGTCACGGGCCGGGCAGAGGCTGAGAAAGGTGTAGACCCGACGTCAGCTCCGGTCAGCAGCACCGAAGGTCCACGAAGCTCCGGAGGACTGGAGTTGATGAAGAAGTAGAACTAGCAGTAGAAACCCTGTAACATAAATACAGCACTAAATAGAAGTTCAAAAGTGCAGCTACCTGTGGCCTGGAAAAATTAAGTTAGCTGCATTTGCTATAGCTTCTGTAAAAATCTACCGGCTAAAAAAAATATAAAAACGTGTGTTTCAAATGATATCAAAAATCATTTAGAATGAAGTTAAAATAACAGATACTATGATAATAATCTGTAAGTTAAAAAAATACAATTACTAATATATTATACGGGAATCGAACCTGTACTTCAAGTAAAATGAAAACTCTAAGTGTTCCCTTTAAAATCATCTAAATTTCAAGGTTATCAAAATTATTTATAGCACAACCCGGGAATCGAACCTGAGATGGAAACAAATCACGAATTGAAACTGAAATAACTAGTATTCGGACAATGTATCGATTATATTTAATTGTATATTTAATTTAGCAGACAAAATTAAATATGAAATCTGTAAGGTAGAAAAATAATAAAATGTTAATTTTGCATAGTCTCAGAACTCCGTTCTGTTTCAATATATTGTTTTATGAATGTTATTACTTTAAGTATAGCAACAATTTTATAATACTTCTTTCCTTAAATATCTATTTCACCTTTATCGAAATAGAATAAAAATATTATCAAACATTAGGTTAAGAACTGGATTTTTACCTCAGTAATAATATTCAATGAACAATGAATAAACATTATAAAACAGCGAAACAGATTTAGAATTTAAAAGTTACTTATTGGACTTGTGATTTTAAAAATAAAATACTCTAAGGTAATAAACTTATAAGCGAGCAGCAAAAATTAAATGAATAGAACACTCACCCGATTTCGGGGTTATTTAGCACTTACACACAATTTGAAATAATCAAATCACAATGAAACCATTGGACTCGCGAGAAGTCATTTTAAATACTATGCCACCACTATGAGCCGCGCTGCGCTCCTATGTCTGCCTACCTCCATAGTACAATTGTTAACATTGTACCTACAATTATTTTTAATTATATTTTTCTTTAAATTTATTTGTATTAAAAAAAGAATTCAAAACAAGGACAGTTTATTAAGTAAACTGTTACAACCACACACTGCACAACAGACGGATACCAAATTAGAAGAGCTTCAATTGGAATGTTTAAGACATCCACCGTACTCCCAGGACCTTGCTCCAAAATCTTACTATTTTTTTCGAAATTTGGATAACTTTTTGCAAGGGAAAAAATCAACTCCGACGGAAAATCGCCTTCAAAGATTTGTGGCGACTGATACGTTGCGACATCTAATTCATCGCACTAACATCGCCACAACAATCGATAGCGAGGAGACTAGCATCTAACTAGCATCGTCGCAGTAATCCGATAGCAAGACGAACTGCAAGAAGTTTCAACAACCAGTAATGAGATGGCGCTGTACCAATACAAACATAAATTAAGATACTATAAGGCATTTAGAACAAAAAAACCTACATCGCCCACAATTGGTTTCATTACCAATTAGCATAAATAGAACGTCCAACCTACATCGGTTGGACCGCGGTCCCCGGGCTAACACCACCTAGCTCGGAGGGAGACAATTATCCTTTAGTCTCCCTTGCCAGTTGTCCCCATCATCAAGTAAGAACACACCTCCAACCTTACGGTACCTACAGTGGTGACCCCGACGTGATTTTCAACCGACGTGATCCTTAAACATCACGACATCGAAGACCCGAAGAACTACGTGATCCTGTTTCGAAACGCATTTTTCTCCTGCAAGAAAACATTCACAAGATGGGAAACACGGAAGCAAACCCACCGTCGCCGTCCACATCAAATGAAATCTCCAGCGTCGCACTCCCACTCTGCATACAACCATTCACTGTGGCTACACCACCAGTAACATGGTAATAAGACTACATCAGTCAATGGAAAATTTATTTCTATATCCGTCAATGAAATAAGAAGCTCTTAAACGAACTATTTCAACGTTATTGTCTGCATGTAACAAAGGAGAAAGCAACGCATGTCAACAGCTGCGCGTCACATGTCAACCTTCCGCAGCGCAGTCACCCGCACGCTCACCCGACGCCTGGCAAAGAGGATCTCCTTAAATCAGTGCCAGCCTTTATACGCCACTGATTTTATTGTTTCCAGCTACCTATGAGATGGCAAAAGTGCAAAATTAACAATGGTTTATACTTTGATTAAATAAATATATTACATTAAAAAATATTCGACTTTTTGTTCCTCCTATGCCTAACATCAATTTCATATGCATGGACCTGGATATATACCTAAACTAATATTATAAGGAGGAAAAATTTACTGTAAAATCATAACTATTTGGTACTCTTCAATAAAACAAAAAGTGATATATTTGATCGTCAGGCCATATTATACTTTAGCACGTTAAAGATTTTTTTATAATTCTTCAATTATTCTTATAACAATTATTTTATAGAAAAGTATCATATATTTATTACTTCGATCAAAAATTATTATCGTACCATATTACTTTTTACCAACACCTCCTGTTAGTTGGTTAAATGGCAACATTGTTATCCTCTTGTCACAGAGAGAGAAATAATACTTTAATTTATTATATCTAGCAGTTTTCAATTAAATAAATATTAAGTAGCATATAATATAATTTTTTCAAAATGCTGTGTGTAATTTTGTGCAGTGGTGAATTCAAATTAAGAAGATAATGTGGGATTTAATTTAGAAACTATTCCGCATTGACGCTAAGCTCAATCTTCGCATAATTCAATATGGCTGCCGAATTGTATTTCTCAGAGTGCTTTGTTTGTGGCGGTATTGGATTTTACAGTTTTTGTGGCATTTATCCAGAAAATTGCAATGACTTGCGGATATCACGTCATTAAAACAGTTATTTTATTTATATTTACCGTAAAAAATATATTTGTTATATTGTGATAATAATTAGATAAATCGTAAGTGATTTTCATTTCGGCAGTGTGTAGTGAAATAAGAAATTTAAAAATCAATATAAATAAATAAATAATTCAATGTTACTCGCAATGTCACAATATGAGCGGTTGCGATGATCCGGACTCTACAAACAATTGTAATTCAACGTTGCAACTCATGGTATGTATTCATAATGCGCGCGGTTTAATACGTCAATATTTACTTATATCGGACCTGTCTTCCTTATTTTGAATCTCAATTCCATCTAAAAAATTTTAAAGTACTATCTAATTAATTCTGTAATTTTCTACAGTGCTACTGTATTGAGTTATAATTATTTTGCATCTTTATTACTTAAAAAAACTGCTGTGAATAATAGCAAATTTTAGCATTTATGTTGTCTGACAAACATTGAGTGATTTGCTTAACTGGATAACCATCACTCTTCAGAATATTTTTACATATTTAAACTTTAGCACTAATTTTGCATCAAGAATCTCATTACATCATCTGAAGCATTAAGACAAATAATATCAAAACACTTCACTATTTTATGTTATACACTTGTTAAGTTTTTTTTGGTTTATAGGTATAATATATTAAAGAAAAATTATGTGTACATGCAGTTATAGCATTAGTAAGTGCAATAGAGCTACTTGAGTGTTTCAGAAAAAAATATTTGTAAACTTTAATTTTAAACGGTATCTGAATTATTTTTCTTGTGAAAGTGTCAGTGTGTTGTGAGAAAGGAAAAACATATTCTTATTCATTAATTCAAATTAATATTATAATAACATTATCGTATCATTTCATGTGTGATATCTATCACAAAATAAATATGAGCACTATAACACTACTTTAAAATGTTCTTCTTCTAAACGCAGCCCGCGAACGTATTTGCACACTAAAGTTTGGCCCACATGTCCAAGGTTGCCCATACCACTTTAAGTATATAGAATCAATTGAAACCTTTGAATGTAAAATGTTTTTAGTGCTATGTAACTAATAGTAAGGATAGGTCAGGACTTAAATTAATCCCAATTAGTGGCAGCCCCCTAATGCTAATGGTGATAATTTGGATTGTTTATGTGATATATATATCTATCTGTCAGGTCAATATGATTGAAGAGCAATAAAGAGATTTAATGTTAACAAGGAAGTTGGACCTGAATATGAATATACCTGCACTATTTCTGAAACAAACAGCAGACAATATCCTCCCAATTCTTCACATTTTATTTAATGAGGATTTTTTTTTCCTGATATTTGGAAACATGCCTTTATTATACCAGTGCATAAGAGTGGTGATAAAAATGTCATTGAAAACTATCGTCCTATTTCTATTTTATCCTCCACACCAAAGGTGTTTGAATGTGATGAAAATGTACACATAGGGATGTTGTTGTTACAAAAAGTTACATCGATGCAATAACATCAATGTATTATGTAGCAAAATAAACAACTGATTACAATTTAAATGATGTTTGAGGCTTTTATTTTTATTTCACCAATTTGGTAAATTATATGATTTATTAATAAAGTCTATTATACTTAAAAAAAAAACGATTAGTTATTAATCGATTTGGGTAATTGAATAATAATCAATCACTCAAAATCCATATTGAAAGTATCATATCTCTAGTCGTGTACTTTGACGTCACGACGAAAGTGCCAAAAATTCTGGTGTTTAAACTGCTCGTAGCTATTACTTATTTTCATCAATGATTAATGTTACAAAATTTTTGTTTTTCGGTGCGGGTATTTTTTTTACAGTTATATATCGATGTAAATTATCATTTAAAAACATTTTCCGAAAATGTGCATATTCCCTATTGCATTCAAATCATTCATAATAATAAATAAAATCGTACAATAGATTCATATATTAAAGAAATGGCCAATCGGCGTTCTAAAGCCGAAATCGCCATAATACTTTATAGCGTTAACTGTTATTAAGTTACTGGTTTTAATATTTAACTGTGCACTCATTCTCAACACATGTTGCATTATTTTTCTATGCAGTTGCTCATAAAGCGCTATTTTTTAAATCCATTGTAAACACTGAAAGTGAGTCTTTAAACACGTGTTAAATGTACTGAAATCCTTTACTGCACATGAGCTTAAAAATGTTTTTTTATTTTTTTTTTGGCCAAAAGAAATTTAAAAAAAATTGATGAAAATATGTCAAACTTTAGAGGCAAAAGTATTTCAAGGAGCCTAGAATGAATATTTTGAAATAAAAATTTATGACACGAAAACATGTTCAAATATCACATTTAATTTTAACAAATAATTTTTACCTTTAATACATACTTAGTTTTATTAACCTGTACATTTGTTTTATTTTCTTGCAAAAAGCATTGAAAAATGTTGTAAGAAACTTGAGCGTAAAAAGTTTTTCGAATTCGTGTCAATGAAATTAGTCCAATGGCCCGATTCGAAAATTTTACTTTCCGCACTCGTATCTTAAATAACTATTATATATCGTAATGTTATCAGGGTGTCGAACGCACAATCACGGCGGTCGGCGGCGGCGGCGGCGGCGGCGGGCCGGGGTCGCTCAACGGCTCCGTCGACGAGCCGCCGTGCAAGCGCCTCAAGCTCGCCGCATCCGCAGACGACGCACCGTCACTACGCCGCCGTATACTCGAGGCCGAGCTCACCCGCCTGCGAAACCTTCGCGAGAGGTGAGCTTCGCTGACCACTTTCGTTCATCGTCATCGTCGTTCTGCATCACGCCGCCCTACATGTCGACTTTCGTCTCGCAGGTTCACCGAACAGCTGAGCGAGCTGTATTTCCTTCAGGCGGGCGGCAACATGATGGACTATGCGGCGTGGCGCAAACGTCCGCCGACGAGTCAACTGCTGACGTTTCTGGAAAGTCGGCGCCCGCCACCGATCGCAGTGTCGGCGTCCGCGCCGGGCCCGGCGCCGGCCCCGACGGCCCGAGCGGGCGCGGCCGCCGCGGCCGTCGGGCCCGCGTCCAGCGCGCCCGCCGCCGACGAGATGGTGGAGAAGGCGAAGCAGGAGGCCTACGTGGCGGCGCGCGTGGCCGAGTTGGCGCGCGCCGGCCTGTGGCCCGAGCGCCGCCTGCCGCGCGTCGTGGAGCCGCCGCGGCCCAAGACGCACTGGGACTACTTGTTGGAGGAGATGGCCTGGCTGGCGCAAGATTTCGCCCACGAACGGAAATGGAAGAAACAAGCGGCGAAAAAGGTCGGTCGATTGTAGTATCGACACCGACTCGGTGATTTTTAATCAATTCACTCGTTCGAAGTCGCTATCATAATTTTTACACAAAAATCATGCAATATTAACATTTTTAACTTGAACTTAAAAGAGATACACTAAAAAATGTTATCATAATATGTTTCATGAAATGTGCAATTTTTGTACGTACTTTAAATTAAGTTGAAGTTTGCTTTATGTCGAAATGTTATCATTATTAAAAATGTATCTTCTGTATGTAATGAAATACGGAACTATCAGTTTTTAATTGTATTTTGTTTTATAAATACGTTTTTTTTTATTATAATGAATATGTTTTATATGTAACCATTCAATCCTTATGAATAAAAAATAAAAAAAATATGAGTTTGATGGAGGTGCATTTATCTTAATAGATGATCTGTTTCAGTGTGCTCGTGCTGTGCAAAAATATTTTCAAGACAAAGCTGTGGCCGCTCAAAAAGCGGAGAAGGCTCAAGAGTTACAATTAAAGAAAATCGCAGCCTTCGCGGCCAAAGAAATAAGGACGTTTTGGTCGAACGTCGAAAAGGTCAGTCGATTTATTTTTCATACGAGAGATCGATCCCCGGACGGCTCGTTCGTCCGCTTCGCGGAGACGTCCAGCACTCGCAGCATTAAGAACTCGAAAACGTTTCGTCTACACCCAAATGTCGGACTCTACACGGGTATCTCATTCTCGACCCGAGAAAGGTGCCGTTCGGTGTAGGCGAAGCGTTTCTCGAGTTTGTCATCGTTCGAGTCGATGAGGAGTTAGATTTTTATTAGATACAGCTAACGTTTATTATTTAACAGCTGGTCGAGTGGAAACGAGTGAGACGCGTGGAGCGCGCGCGGAAGGAGGCCCTCGACGAGCAACTGAGCTATATAGTGGACAAAACCGAGCGGTACTCGCGGCAGCTGGCGGCCAACCTGGCGCGGCCCGTCGACGCCGCCTCCGACGACGAGTTCCAGCCGCGCGGCGCCTCCGACGACGACGAGGAGACCATCGCGGCCGCCGAGCGCGAGGCGGGCGACGACCCCGCCGACCACCGCGACGAGATAGAGGCGCTCCGCCGCGAGTCGCGCCTCGCGCTCGACGACCTGCTGCCGCCCGGGTACCTGCCCGCGCACTCGCCCCCGCCCTCCGACTACGGGCCCGACCTCGACGACTCGGCCGACGACGAGGCCACCATCGACGAGCAGGAGCGCGCCGAACGCCCCGAGGACCACGCCGCCGAGCTCGAGGCGCTCCGCTGCGACGCCGAGCTCGACGTCGCCGAGCTGCGGCGCAAGTACGCCGCCCGCGCCCCCTCCGTCTCCCTCTCCGACGCCGCCTCCGACGACGAGACCGACGCCCCGACGGAAGACTCGTCGGACGACACCGCCTCCACCGGCTCGTCGGAGGCGCTCGAGGCGCTGGTCGAGGAGGGCGGGGCGGCCGCGGGGGAGGACGAGGGCGGGGGCGGGGAGCGGCGCGTGGAGGCGGCGGCCTCGCTGGCGGCCACGCTGCAGCCCACCGGCACCACGCTGTCCTCCACCGCCGTGGGCACGCCGGTGCCGCGCCTGCTCAAGCATCCGCTGCGCGAGTACCAGCACGTGGGCCTGCACTGGCTGGCCACCATGCACGCGCGCCGCCTCAACGGCATCCTCGCCGACGAGATGGGCCTCGGCAAGACCATCCAGACCATAGCGCTGCTCGCGCACCTCGCGCTCGAGCGGCACGACTGGGGGCCGCACCTGGTCATCGCGCCCACCTCCGTCGTGCTCAACTGGGAGATGGAGTTCAAGAAGTGGTGTCCCGCCTTCAAGATCCTCACCTACTACGGGACGATCAAGGAGCGCAAGCTGAAGCGCGTCGGGTGGACGAAGCCGAACTCGTTCCACGTGTGCATAACCTCGTACAAGCTCGTCGTGCAGGACCACCAGAGCTTCCGGCGAAAACGGTGGAAGTACCTCATCCTCGACGAGGCGCAGAACATCAAGAACTTCAAGTCGCAGCGGTGGCAGACGCTGCTCAACTTCCAGACCGAGCGGCGGCTGCTGCTCACCGGCACGCCGCTGCAGAACAGCCTGCTCGAGCTCTGGTCGCTGATGCACTTCCTGATGCCGGACGTGTTCGCGTCGCACTCGGAGTTCCGCGAGTGGTTCGGCGACGTGGCCGGCATCGCCGAGGGCTCCCACCGGTACAACGAGGCGCTCGTGCGCCGCCTGCACGAGGTGCTGCGCCCCTTCCTGCTGCGCCGGCTGAAGGCGGACGTCGAGCGGCAGATGCCGCGCAAGTACGAGCACGTGCTCATGTGCCGCCTCGCCAAACGGCAGCGGTTCCTCTACGACGACTTCATGGCGCGCGCCAAGACGAAGGAGAGCCTCGCCTCGGGCAACCTGCTCGGCGTCATCAACGTGCTGATGCAGCTGCGCAAGGTGTGCAACCACCCGGACCTGTTCGAGCCGCGGCCGGTCAGCTCGCCGCTGCAGCTGGAGGCGCTCGTGCTGCGCGCGCCCGCCCTCGCGCTGCACGCCGGCGTGGCCGAGCGCGGGGAGGCGGCCGCGCGCCTCGGCGGGGACCTCGCCACCCTCGAGGCGGGGGGCGCCGGCGCCTTCGCCGCCCACCGCGCGCGCCACCTCGCGCCCCCGCGCCGCCTCGTCGAGGAGCTGGGCGACGCGCGCCCCGCGCCCCCGCCGCGCCCCCCGCCCGCCGCGCTGCGCCTGCACCTGCGCCTGGTGCCGCGCCGCGCGCCCCCCGCGCCCGCGCCCGCCGCCGCCGCGCCCCGCGCCGCCTCCGCGCCCGCGCCCGCCCCCGCCCCGCCCGCGCCCGGCGCCCCCCGCGGCGCGGCGGCGGCGCGGCTGGAGGCGCGGCGGGCGCGCTGCCTGCGCCGGCTGGCGGCGTGCAACGAGCGGCGCTGCTGGCGGCTGCCGCTGTACGGCGCGGACCTGCGGGCGGCGGTGGCCGCGCCGCGCCCCGCGCCCCCCTCGCCCACGCTCGACGAGCTGCTCTGCAGGCTGCACGACGTCATCGACAGGCGAGTGCGCGTGCGGGTTAAATCGAAAACAAAATCGCTTCGGATGTCAGAATCGTGCGATCGTGACATCGGTCGCACGTCGAATCTCGTAAATTAACTTTGCTAATATAAAATATACGAGGGTGGATTGAAAAGTTAACGGCCTCAGCAAAAAACAATATAAAATATAATCAAAAGTAATTTATTTTATTTTTCCACGTAACTCTATGCACTTCTTCCATCTGGTTTCCGACGGTTGTATGCCGTCGGAAACCAGATGGAACCATTCACCTTTAGCAAAGTAGTCCACCATCATGACACCCTTAGCACAAAGCGACGTAAGAGGGTGCAGTAATAAGCCGAGTTTATAGTTTCACCTTTTGCAAGGTAGTCCACCATCATGACACCCTTAGCATCCCAAAAAACTGACGCCGGCACCTTGCCAGCTGACAAAATTGTTTTGGATTTTTTAGGAGTCGGTTCATCACGTTTTTTTCACTACTTAGATCGCTGTTTTGACTCTGGGGTGTAGTGGTGTACTCAAGTTTCATCCATCGCTACAAATCCCACCGCGCAAACCTTAGAAAATCCAAGTTCATTGACTATGATGTTTTGTGTTCGTGCATACGAGATGCCAATAGTGTCTGCAATCTCCCTGATGGTCAATCTCCGACCTGTCAATATCAGATCACAGATGTTCCCGATGTTTTCTTCAGTCGTAGACGTCATAGGCCTACCGGAGCGAGGGTAATCTTCAATACTCTCTCGTCCGCGTTTAAATTCACCAACCCACTTTTTCAAAGTCGTATACGACGGAGCGAATTCCCCCAATGTTGTCGACATGTCTTCGCGAATCTTTTTTGGAGTTAGTTTTTTTTAAATAGGTATTCGATGACCGCACGTTACTCAATTTTCTCCATTCTTTAAAAATGCTGCACGAAGGCTCAAAATTTAGTATTATTTAAATACAGTTAACGCTATTTAATAGAATTTTACAGTCCGACAACCAGAGAGTAAACTAATCGAATGAGGTCAGTTACATTAAAATAGTTTAAGTGTTTACGTGGTAGGCCGCGAATTTTCCGATCCACCCTCGTTCTAATCGCTCTTTTTAAAAGGAACTACGGAGCCGTCGTTCGCATATTAGTCACCGAAGTCGCACAAGAGTGCCGTTTCACATTCGGATGCCCTTGCAGGTTCAGCGTGTGCTGCAGCGCGGCGCGCGCGGCGGCGTGCGTGCTGCAGGTGGGCGCGGGCGCGGGGGCGCGCGCGTGGCGGCGGCGCGCGGCCGCGGCGGGGGCGGGGGCGGGCGCGGGGGCGGCGCGCGCGCTGCTGCGGCGCCTGCACGCGCCCGCCTCGCGCCAGGCCGTGGCCTTCCCGCACCCGCGGCTGCTGCAGTACGACGCAGGTCTGCGCCTCGTCTTCTGTGTTCTTGTTTCGATTGAAACTTTTTGGTCGCCCATCCCGTGACCGATTTGAATGAATGAATGAATGAATACACTTTATTGCGTATAAATACAGTTATACAAAACATTTATAATCAAAACCAAACGCAAAAGGCGGCCTTATTGCTAAGGTAGCAATTTCTTCCAGGCTACCCTTGACTAAAGGAAATTATACCAATTAAAGAAACGAGTGAGTAGTGGGTTGATCTATGATAAATGTAAATGTACTACATAATTACTATAAAATAGAAATACACACATACATATATATATATACTCATACAGATACTACATTCTACATATAAATAAAAAGAAGAAGAATTTAGGAGGAAAAATCCAGCTCGAGGAAATGTTCTTTTATCTGTGTCGTAAAAGAGTCACGTGATTGTGCACGTCTGATATCTACCGGTAGAGAATTCCATACTTTAATAGCTTTAATAAAAAAGGACTCGGCTAAGTCATCAGTGGAGTGGGACGGAATGATTAAAGATAGGTTATGAAAAGAACACAGATCACGAATAGGATTGGTAGAGTTAAGGATAAAGCGCTCTTTAAGATATGGAGGAGTATGTGGGAGGAACAAGATGGAGTAAAGGAGTAATAGGATGTGACAGTCTCTTCTACGAGAAATAGGTAGCCATTGAAGTTGGGCACGATATTCAGAGATATGGTCATACTTACGTAGACCAAATATGAAACGTATACATAAATTATTAATATGAAACATTATTTAATTCATATTATTATTTAATTAATTATTGATTATCAATATTAATATTAATTATAATTCATATTATTTAATATGAAACGTATACCTAAATTATCCGAATATTGATCGTCCGGAATCACCCCTGGTTTTAATCCTCCTGTCCTATCGGAATCTCGGAAAGCTCCATTAGCCGTCGGCACGTAATCGATCGGCGGTCGTTATGTTGTCGCGCAGGCAAGCTGCAGACGCTGGACGTGCTGCTGCGCAAGCTGAAGGCGGGCGGGCACCGCGTGCTGATCTTCACGCAGATGACGCGCGTGCTGGACGTGCTGGAGGCCTTCCTGTCCATGCACGGCCACACCTACCTGCGGCTCGACGGGGCCACGCGCGTCGACCTGCGGCAGCCGCTCGTCGACAGGTACGACATCCACTCGCACGTGGCCATACAACCTGACACAAATAACACTATTTCGCATTCGTTTAGTTTTTCATACAAATATTTGATCAACATTTTTTTCAACTCATATGCTACAACCCTCAAAACTTACACGTGTCGTCCCAGCGTACTCTCTCTCTCTCTCTCTCTCTCTCTCTCCCCCCCCCCCCTCTTCCTCTTCCTCTCTCGCTCTCTCTCTCTCTCATTACCTCTCGCCCTCTCGATTCCTAGAATACACACGAAAGTAGGTAAGTACCTATTCGGTAGGTACTAACACAGTTTCCAGATATTTTATGAAGATTAGTTCCATAATCTATTATTTTTATAATTACAACAATTTAATATAAAACAGGTACATACCTAAACGCAGCGTTCAAATCACTCTTTCAGCACTCACTTGCCAAGATTACCTACACTTCATCTTCACTTTATCAATCAGTCCAGGGACTCTATGGAGATGTTTGTTTTACGCGGTGGCCATGCCGGCCACCGCGTAAAACAAACATCTCCATTCGACCAGACACAGACCGTTTTACTCTCGAAACCATCTGTGATTCAGATTTTAATGTGTCGAAAACTGTTACTATTCTGTCTCGCATTTCAGTTTCCAAATCACAGGACACAGCATAAACCTCATTTTTAACCTGACCCCATAACAATGTCATGTGGTGTCATGTGTGGAGATCGCGCGTCATGGCACTGGGCCGCCGCGACCATCTATTTATCCACCTCACAAACCGATTATTAAGGTACTCGCGTACCCCATGTGCGTGATGCGCTCCATCGTGTCGGATTAAAAACGAGCTGTAGATGCTAAGAAGAAGGTCATCTAACAGGAAGCTTACTCTAATTCACCGAAAAACGAAATATCGTTCGAAATTTCGGACTTTTCTTACCACAATTACGTTCGTTCCGAATATCACGAAATGACGAAACGAACATTTGAGTTTGACATCTAATTGTTCGGAATTCTTACCTCAAATTGACGAAGTAAAAAATGTTACCTTTTCATTTTCGTTTGCAATTTTTTATTTTCGAAATGGGGTCTATATTACCATTAATCGAGTCAGCTCTCAGTAAAGAACGATTAGACCGTAGAAGAAATCGGCGGCGGCTTCGAAATAGCCTTAATATAAGAAATATTCTCGACACTGAGTTTGTAAGTAATTACAGACTCAGTTGTGAATTATTTCAAGAACTATGCCAGGAGATTATACCTTTACTGCGTCCACAGGCAAGATCTCATGCCACCGAGTCCACAATTAAACTTGGAAGATATTTTATCGTAGTTCTTGATAAAAAAAATTGCATGCCTACCATTATGCATTTCATATTTTTATGATTCTTACAGCGTTGAATTTTTATGCCCGAGGTAGTTACCAAGGATTCGTATCTCAAAACATGGATGGGCCTAGTTTGGTGAAAACTTGTAAAACTTTTGGCGGGATGAGAATCGTTGGTATTATACGGATATTTAAGATGGCCATACGTTGATTATAGCCATCGTTTAAATGAAAGATTGTTTTTTATATATGTCGTTTAATACTATGGATAAAAGAGTTCTTTATAGTGTCTTTAAATTTTGTTTTAATTTCGTTCGTAAACGAAATTTCGTTTTCGAGAAAGCGAGTAGGTCTCCAGGCCTTCCAATTCACCTCGCAGGAAAATAATTCTGGGCATTTGATTGGGTCTTTAGCAAAATTACGTAGATTCATATCCTCTGTCTCGGTGGAATAGGTGTTCGGCCGGCCTCCCTGTGGCACACTATGTAATAAACCAGTTGTATGTAACCGATTCACAAGTGCCGTGAAGCACCGTTAAGAAGGAAGAGATCGAGTGATTTCAGATCTTCCTGACACGTGGCGCTCGTCATAGAGCCGCCGAGCCGCAGCAAAATTACCATCACAAACATCAATACACATTATCATCTCGTAATATTCGGGTATTTGAGTACAAACTCATCGCACTGACCGCACACAAACACAACACACGAGTAAACAGAACGAGTATTAAAAACAAATCAAAAGTCCCCAAAGAACGAAAACGTTTGTCAACCTAAATTCTAAAAAGTCTCGAGTACGCCGGTGAAAGTCTCGGACGCGACTGAAGCGATCACAAAAACTACATAGATAATTATTGCAACTCGAACACCAATGTACCTAAATCACCGATTTAGGGTTCTGTGTTAGTTACCTACCTTATACAAAATCGCTTCATTCTCGTAGACTTTCCGATATCCGCTAACACGTGTGTGCGCGTGCGCAGGTTCAACGCGGACGCGCGCGTGTTCGCGTTCATCCTGTCGACGCGCAGCGGCGGCGTGGGGCTGAACCTGACGGGCGCCGACTCGGTGGTGTTCTACGACTCGGACTGGAACCCCACCATGGACGCGCAGGCGCAGGACCGCTGCCACCGCATCGGCCAGACGCGCGACGTGCACGTGTTCCGCCTCGTCACCGCCGCCACCGTCGAGGAGAACATCCTGCGCAAGGCCGACCAGAAGCGCACGCTGGGCCATCTGGCCATCGAGGGCGGCCACTTCACCACCTCGTACCTGAGAGCGGTGAGCGACACGTCGAATCCGACACGTGACCCGACACATCGAGTCGCTAAAGCGATTAAAGAGGTGTCACTTTCGAATTCGGTCGGCCTCAATTTCGAATTCACGATCGGGATGTTCACAGGCGAACATAAAGGAGCTGTTCGGCACGGAGGTGGCGGCGGAGGGCGCGGGCGCGGGAGTGGAAGAGGGGGCGGCGGGGGCGGGCGCGGGCGCAGGCGGGGAGCTGGAGTGCCTGCTGGCGGCCGCCGAGGACGAGGCGGACGCGCGCGCCGCGCGGGCCGCACGCCTCGAGGCGCAGGGGGAGCTCGCGGAGTTCGACGAGACGCTGCCGCTGCAGCCGCCGCCGCCGCAGCGGGAGCCGAGGGAGGACGACCCCGACCACGCCGACCTGGCCGCGCTCATGAAACAGGTACCGGATCTGTGCCGCTCCCATCCCCGTTAAGTCTCAATAGTGTCTTTAAAAATGATGAGAACAGTGATAATCCAAGTTAACAAATCGGTTTCCACTTTAGTCGGAATAAAGTTTATGACGTCTTCGTCGCCGAGCTTCAGATTTTTTCGTCGATCTGACCGTAGATGTGCTGGTACGTTTCAGCTGACGCCGGTGGAGAAGTACGCGATGCGCGTGGTGGAGAGCAGCGAGGCCGCCACCGCCGCCGAGCGCGCCGCCCTCGACCACATGCAGCGGCAGCTGCGCGACTGGGAGGACGCGCGCCGCCACCTGCGGGACGCCTCGCCCCCCGCGCCCGCCGCCACCCCCCCGCCCGCCGCGCCCGACCTCACCTACTGCCGCGACGACGCGCGCGCCCAGGTGCGTGCCCGCCGCCGCCGCGCCCCCGCGCCGCCGCCCTCGCCGCCCCCCTCGCCCCCGCCCGCGCCCCCGCCCCCGCCGCCCGGCCGCAGCACGCGCTCGCGCGGCTCGGTGCACATAGACCTGTGGACGCTGGACGCGGGGGGCGCGGGCGGGGTCGGGGGCGGCGGCGGGGGCGCGCGGCGGCGGCTCAAGAACGGCACGCTCGACGCCTGGCTCGCCGGCCCCGATACGAACAATAAACGATGACTGGATCCGTTCTCGCGTTTTATATTCCTGACGTTCGCCGGTCGCCGCCCGGTCCTCGTCCGTGAATGCTTGAGCCCCGACGCCGGAGCGGCGGCCGGACGGACGTCAGGGATGTAGGGGTCACAAGCATTTACGGCCGAGCCGGGCGCGACCGTCGCCCTCCCCCACCCCCCTACCGCCACCCCCTCCACCCCTGCCGACGGCCGAGCGCGAACGGTCCCTCTGAGAGAATGAACTGTCCGAACGGTCTTTTGTCGAAATTACGGAACTGTGCGACCCGTTCGTGCTCGACGGTCCCCGGTGAAAATAGATTCGTCGATAGCGCGTTTACCGAATATTAAAACGAACAGAAAGAATCCCTCAAAACACAAAAATGCTCAAACGCGCCATCGACGACCTTTACTTTTTATCGACCGAAAAACAAAATCATGAAATTCTAAATTACTCCGATATACCATCGGTTTCTCTGAAAAAAGAAAATGAAATTTTAATGATGTCGAAAATGCTATTTTTGTCTAAATACTAAAATGTATATACAACGTGTAACATAATTAACGCATATCCTCAAAGCGGTTTGGTTAAATCATAACTCGGTTCATAGATCAAAATAAAATAATATACAAAAAGAAAATTACTATACCATAGATAAACATCATACATGTCAGTGATATTGAATTATTATATTATTTCAACTTAAGTTATCGAATTTTCAATGTTACAGACTTCGTTATACAAACGTACAGTAAATACATCGAAATGCTTAACGGTTTGGCAAAATGTGGCGATACTGTGGCGTGATGCCGTGCGATGTGATACGTAGCGACTGTGCCACCACAAGTGATAATCATAATTTTATTTAATTAACTTGAAAAGAAATCATATTTCATGTAGAGACTATTGTTGGTAGGTATTGTACTATTATGGCATTATGCTAGTTGCAGGCTTAATCGTAGTTTTGACGTCACTGTGCGGTTTTGTAAGACGTCGACACTGTTCCCCAGCAATTAGTATGGCTGTGTCCAGACGTAAACAGTGTTTTAGTATATACAAGTGGAATTCCAATTCTAATTGGGGTGTGCGTTACTTCTGTTACACGTTGCGCCTCGCCCGGTCGTTGCCGTTTTCTAAACTATATAACTTTGATAAAATTGAAAAAGTCGAATAGGGTGGGGTGTAGACAACTTTATATTTTTATTTTATAGATATACATATAATAATTTAAAAATCTAAAAATACATTTATATCTCAATATGTCCCGCGAAAACGCCACTTCTGTCATGGCGTTGCTATAACGTCACAGCACTGAAACGAACATCGTTCTATGTATGCATAAAGTTGAACTCTCAAAGTTCTAACATGAGTAAAAGGGGCGCGACGTCACGCGCTGTGTATCAACCACGTGACAACCAGCATTAAATATTTGTTTTTTCATAATCACTTTAAGCAATATTATAAATATAATAAGCATAAAAGTGTGATTATCGGTAGTGTAAAATACTAACAGAAAAAAAAAAACAATTTATTTTCGTTTACTGTCTACACCCGTATTGAGATCCGGCTATTTCGTCAAGTGTAGTACGTAATAAACAAAAAGTTTTTATTATATTTAATAATAATAATAAAAAACATCATTATAAAAATTTACGTTCTTCTATGACAAGAATCATAGCTGCAGCTAGGCGGTCGATGTCAATGGCGGAATAGCCAGAAAGAATGAAGACCTGTGGTCTGTCTAATTTCACAATCTATCGCAATCCCTTTCAAAGATAAGTCTATTTTGATAGCGATTCCTGGAATTGTGTAACGTTAAGAGTCGCAATCACTTTCAAAACAAATGATGAATGATCAAGTCATAATAGAAACTTTGCTACCTGTAGTAATATTCGCGTCCAATCAATGAACGGTAACATTCATTCAGTCACTCTCACGAGTAATATTCGTAAATATCTTTCAAATGTCAAATTGAATGGATTACGATCGATTTGCTGATTCTGATACACAATCGACTCCGCAATCGGTCTGATTACAAAATCAATGTCTCATACGAGCTTGCTACATATAAATAAACCACTAGACCAGGCGGTCCTGGAGAGCCGGCCCCGGTGGAGCATCGCAACGGTCACTGGATCACTGCTTATTCACTAAGTATATAACACATTTTACGTACGTGTATTACGCTCTCTTACATTATCTAGGAATCACTGTCTGTATGGTTGTAATTAATATTATACAACATCACATACATTGCTCAGATGCCAAGATTAGTAGCTGAAGCCCCGTATTATAGAGTATATGAGACAACGAAAGAAATCTAGTACAGCAAATTTTATTTTATTTTAAAGATAACTTACAGCTGTGTTTGAGAATAAATCAATACAATAAATACCGAAGGCCATTTAAAAGTTTTCACGTATGTTTAAAAAAAAACAGTATGATACAAAAAGCAATAAAGATGTGATATACTAGGCATTACTTAGAAATATAGTTTGTCAGCATGCGTTTTAACTGAATGGCTGATGTATTGAACAAGTCGATGTCTAGTTTCTTCACTACGTCATTAAAGCGCCTACTCGCTCTCATCGTATAAGCATTTAATCTATAATTAGTTTTACATAATGGTATATGTAAGTTGCAATGTCGTCTTTCTCTGCCACCACCATACGGAACATGTGAACCAATGCGCTCTAATAGTTCGGGACGATCAAATACGTACATTAACCCTGAACACAATACACTCCTTTTTGACAGTTGTGAAAATAGGAGGTAAGTATTGATACATTGAATATTAAAAGGGACTCGTTTATTTAGGGACATTGGAATGCTTCAGTGTGCCTGCTAGCTAGAATACGATTTGTATTTGTTCGAATTACATATAAAAAAAATGTGAATAATTAATGACTTCTATAACACGAATTATTATTTCATTCACTTCAATACAATTTCAAAAACATATTTCTGATTGCCGGTGTGCCTGCGAGCTTGGCATTTATAGCAACGGCGATTCCAAACAAACGGTGAGGATTTTGAAACTAATAAATACACAAAACAATTGTGAGTTCCATGATACCACATGAACCAAAAGAATTCTTTTACTACTCAAGTAAAACAAAACTTTTTCATATTAAATCATAATTTTAATCGCGTTAATACCCGTCGTATACAATCTAATACAAAAAAAGTGTTATTAGAAATCAGTCTTAATTTTTATGTATGTAAGAAAACTTTAAATTAAATTAAAAAAAAAAAATGTTTCCTTATTTTATAAACTAAAACTAACTTATTGCCTAAGCTATCTCAATAGTATATTTTTAGATTTTTTCTCCCTATTGTATTAAAGTAAGTTAAATAAAAGTTCGTATTAATTAAATCATAATAAAATATCACTATTTAGTTACAATTTTTTGATATGTTATTTGAACTAATACTAGTCATATTTCTTGTATCTTAATTTACAAAGTTACTATTAATATAACACAATCACAATTTTTTGACTGACATATAGACCATTAAATTCGTAGTTGTGTCTGCTATCGTGACACGATGTCCGTCACAGAACATAGAAAGACGTTAGAAGGGCCTTGTGGGCGTGGCAGTGTAGCCACGATCCTAGACAAATGTACAGGATCGTGACTTCACGCGATCGCGATGTTTAGTCATTCACGAACGCGCGCGCTGTAAGTACTGTGAAACACGCCACTAAAAGTGTTAAAAATGCCGACTTTTGCAGTTATTAATTGCAAAACAAGAAGCCCATTTTCAAGTAGGTCCAAAGGAAGGATTTCTTTCCATTATTAAGTAGAACACTTCTCAAATTTAGTATTTTTAGTCGAAAATCGTGAAATGTTATCAAAAGTGTGAATCACAAAAAATATTTCCAAGAAAATATACATTGCTGGAGAAGTGCGCATATTTATTACATTGCGTCGTACTAAGCACGTAATGTAATGAATATCGCGAAATTACCGTTTTAAATAGCAACATAATAGATTACGGTAGATGGGTAGTGAAGTGCCTGGCAACATTTAATCGATTCTTGGTATGTTAGGTAGTAAAAACTAAATAAAAGTATGGACAATAAAAATAGTGGTAATAAAAAATAAATTTAATCAGAGATTAACCATATTGACTTCGTTTGGAATGCGCTTGTATATTAATTTAATAATGAGTGTGGTAATAAGTCTGTTTTTATATTCTTAATATTGTAACAGAAAACTAGTTTTTTTATTTTTATTTTGAACCATTAACAACAATACTTTTTAAATCATCGGAGTCTGTTCGGGATAAGTTCCAATAGCATTTATTGTACTAATAGTATTTTTTTATTTTGTATATATTTATTTACATTATATTGTTTGTCAATATTACTAGTTCCATTTAAGCGATGTTGCCTATCTTATCTGTTTACTTGATACGAAATCGAGTAACGTAACTTAAAAAAACCCTACTATTATTATTAATAAACAAACATATTTATATGCATATATTTAAGCTCGACTAGTACCGATTCAATGTTAGTTCATTAGTAATTTAATAATTCTTATTGAATCAACCAACTAATTAAGAATTTATATCTAAAGAAAAAAGATAATGTCTCATTTAATCAATACAATTCAATGTACATCCAATATAATATAAAGAAATCATTAATCTAGTATCGTTTCAATTAATCGACTTGTTGTTTTTCAATATCGATAGTAAATAACTTTATGTCAATCACTAGTGTGATATGGCTTTTACACGTTTATTGCGCACTATAGATGTCTGTTATGGTTGAGCATGATTGGTTATAGTTATATTGGAGCGTTCTGATTGGCATGTTTAAAATACAAGTGTGTGCATATCTTTTGTATAATTGGTCTGATTATTTGTCTGATGTACGGCGGACTAAAAGTGGGACAAGACTGGCTACATCGGTTTTCGTACAAAGGATGCATGATCGCCTTTCTAACCTCTTTTCCGTGTTCTGTGATGTTCGTCAATATTGCGGGTACACCTACGAACCTTTTCGAGGTCGATAAATAAAAAATAAAAGACGAAAGTATTATAAACAAGTATATAACTAGTTTAGTTTGTGATAAGCTGACAAGGTGAACCATGATGACCTAACTAATAGACTCGGGCGGCGGATTTGTAATAACATATTGATATCAAATATAATGAATAAGGCTAAAGGCATATTATTCCTCGTCGACGGCATCCAGTAGGAGTTGAACAAAACGAATTTTAGATTTAATTTTTATAAAACGTAAACTCCGAATCCTCAATTCGTTTCTTCGCTCGAATTAATCCGCTAGCAGCATAATACAAAAGTGTATGAGGGGCACATTCTGATATTTAGATCGTGTTATTTTAAATAAAAATACGTTCGTTCTTAATGAGCGTCGTTTATTCACTGGTTCATCAATACACCAGAACATAAAGCGAGGCTCTTCAGCGGCCAGAGCGTCGCAAATTCTAGTTAGTGATAAACAGTGATAGCGGAATAGGTAGTGCTTACTAGTTTAAACTTCGAACGAGAAAGGGAGACTTAGGGGTATATTTTTTTCGGAACTTCTGCACCCAAATTGTTAACAATACTTAAATGTTTTGCATTCACAATCTGCTACCTGAGGCTGGTGGCTTTATTAAGCATTTTTCAGTAAATATATCTATCTACTCTCACACCAACTTTCGGAACAGTTCCTAGCGGTTGGTGCGCCAGCAATTATTTGAGTAATAAGGTGCATTTTCCAGCGTTAACAGAAACAAGCTGTCGTCAATTCGGTTGCACCACAGTGATCACGTTTTATTTATAGCAGACTTCAGAAAACTTTCTATGACTTTACAATTTGATGTCTTATTTATCAGTCGGGCATACAGCGTAGCATAAACTATTAAAATTGAATCCATGGTCAATGTCTTTATGGTCTTTAGTCAGTAGAGTTATTTGCGGAGAAAAAACTCACTAAGAGAGGTTTACGGAAATTCAATCCCTGGGAGATAGGATGTTGGTATGAAAGTATCAGTTTTAATGTTAGAAACATGTTTTTTTTATTTTATTTTTAACCTCCGACGCAAAAACGACGGTGTGTTATAAGTTTGACGCGTCTGTCTGTGGCATCACAGCTCTCCCGAACGGATGAATCGATTTTGATTTTATTTGTATAATTCACCTTGGATTAGTCGAGAGTGTTCAACACTATGGGTATGTTCCGATATACACTGCGAGCACTGCGCAGTGGTCTTACTGCTGAAAAATCCGTTCCGTTATGGACTGCCAGTACACTGCTACAGTACCCTAGGGAAATTTATGACGTCATAACGTCACGTCACGTGATCAGTCGAAACAGAACCAGAAAATGATAAGTTTCTAAATAAACAAAAAAAAAACTTACGTTTATTTATAAGATGGATTTAATTGATAAATATTTTTTTTATACAATTTTCCAATTTTCTTTTGAAAAGAGGGAATCTTTATATTTATATTCACCTTGCATTAACAAATTTGAAAATGGCGCCAAAAAATAGGATTAACAGTATACTGGACTGCGTTCCGTTTTCAAAAAGTCACCAGTATAACTAGCTATAAAGGAACAGGCTTCCAGTATACTAAATTGACGTCATACTTTAAGGGTAGAATTTTCAGATATCCTATCTAAGTCAGTACCCATAAACTAAATTAAGTAACTCTACAGACCACAGATCATGAGTCCAACTTCAATAATTTACGTTTGGCGATGATGAACGAGGCACTTAATCAGAACAAGTTCTTTTATAAATGTAGATTGATGTATTGTATTCATTTTTTTTTAAATATTTCAATATTCATTGTGAAATCGTTGTTATATTTCTTTATTTATTAAAATCTTTTCTTTAAACGATATAATTTTAAGTGTCCTCTTACCGGGCAAATAATATTTATTCCCAAAACGCCTGGGTTTTTCCCTATCTGACCCCGGGCGGTAACACTGCCCATCTCTACGTAACGCAGGTAAAGCTGCAAGTCTGCGTCTAGACAGCTGCCGATAAACTACAGCTTGTCTATAGCGCGAAATGATCTGTCTTTTTGAGAATCCAATTTTTATAAATAATATACTATTTAAATTTCTAGTTGCCCCAAATACCTTTGTGCTGGGTAATGTCAGAGGTATGCGACAAGTTTTCAGCTTGCTTGCTTGCTTGCTTGCTTGAGCATGGAGCCGGATGTTATTATGTTAATTCGTCCGACTTGTAGTTTCATATTTAGTGACAAAAATACTGTTATAATGTGACAAACCACATATAATACTACACTAGTGCAAAAAAAGATGTTATTTTGAATTTATTAATTTGCATAATATTGAAATGCATAATTTTGCTAAAGGCTGCTTTTACTTGGATCAATAGATAAGTAAAAAACACTAATTTATAGGAAGTTTCTATTTAATCAAAAATATTCTTTACTGTACACGCAACACAGTGAAGGATATAAAACAAACGGACTTTACAATTGACGGCATTATCGATAAAAACCATTTAATGTCATAGCGTATTATTCGTCGTATTAGCGTCTTACATAACATAAAGGATTTATTTTATTCAATATTGCCTTACGAACTTAAGTATTGATTCTGTTGGTGCTTTTGATGTGCTTAACAAAATTGCTGCAATGAATTTCGCATCTACACTAACAAAGTTAAACAATTTACATATATGTAAGTAAATCTTGCATATTCTGAGATTCATCGCGTGCCATTACCTAATATCGTCCCGTGAAATCTTAAGATTGAATCTTCCACTAATGATAACTGATTACAGCCAAAGTCATTTGTAAGTTGTGAAATTTTATCGAATTTGGTTTTGATCTATTCAGGACCGGATACGGGAAAACAAGAATCGTTTCATAGTTTTTTTTTTTATTATATAATTTTTATACTGTGTATTCGACGATTCTTCAAATCGAGCGGAGGGTATAGATCGGGAAGTCGTTTTGGAGGGCTCTTATTATTCGCCGAAGAAAACTTTCGGCCGGGTGACGCTCCGGGAAGTCCGTCAAAAAAGTTAAACCGAAAGATCGATCGACCTCCGCCGAGGCCGGGCGAATCGCATCGCAGTAACCGTAACGTATTTTCTGTCCGCGCAGGTGTGGGTCAGCGAGACCGGAGCCGACGAGAGGATGCCGGTGAGTGGCCGTAAAAGTACAAATAAATAAAATTATCGCCCCCGGGCCGTCGATCTGAACCGTCCGCGCTCCCGCAGATGTGGGGGCCGCCGACTCCGCCCTCCGGCGACGGCGACGTGTACTGCGAGAGCTGGAGCCTCGTCCTCTACCGGCCGGGCCCCGCGCCCGACCACCTGCTGCCCCCCGCGCCCCGCCGCGAGCCCCGCGCGCCCCGCGACCCGCGCCGCCCGCGCCCCGCGCCGCGCGCGCCGCTCGCGCCGCCCTCGCTGTTCGAGCGCGCCGGGCCCCGCCCGCGCCCGCGGCCGCGGCCCCCGCACGCGCCCCCGGCGCCGCCGCCCCCCGACTGGACGCCCGCCGAGGACGCGGCGCTGCGGCGCGCCCTGCGTCTGCAGCGGCTGCCGCCCGACCCGCCCGCCGCCCTCGCGCCCAACTGGGAGTGGGCCAGTGAGCTGGTGCACGAGGCCGGCCGCGTGTACCGCGCGCCGCGCGCCTGCCGCGACCGCCACGAGGCGCTCGCCGACCCCGAGCGGGCGCGCCGCAAGCACCGCCGCGCCGCCGCCGCCGCCGCGCGCCGCCGCCCCGACCACGACGCGCCGCGCCCGCCGTTGGCGCGCCTGGACGCCATGCGCGACGCCACCGAGCGCCGCCGCGCCGCGCCCAAGCGCCGCCTCGACCCGCCGCGCGACAACCCCAAGCACGCGGCGCTGCTCGCCGACCACGGCGTCGACATCGACGCGCCGCCCACGCCCATGGAGGTGGCCTCGCGCCGCGCCGACCGCATCGCCAAGGAGAAGATGAAGGCCCAGCCCGCGCCCGCGCCGCAGCCCGCCGCCGCCGCCGCCGCCGCGCAGCCGCCGCAGCGCGTGGTGGTGGCCGCGGCCGCCAAGCAGGACGCGGCGCGCCGCCCCCGCGCGCCCGCGCCCGCCCCCGAGGGCCCGCGCGCCCCCGCGCCCTCCGCGGCCCCGGCGGCGTCCGTCGCGCCGACTCAGCTGCTGTACCGGCAGCAGACGCTGGCGGCGCGGCATCATCTTAAGATTCTACACCACGCCGCCTCCGCCCACGCCCAGGTAAACGTTCGAACCGGGCGTCCTGCGTTCGTCATCCTTCCGCTTCGCGAGAAATTCGGTTAAAGTTTGGTCATCGACGGGGAAGATATTTCAGAAAACTGCTCGAAGATTGTCAGAATATCGGATCGAGACGGAGAGCTCGCCGTGCCTCCGTATCGTTTATCGATCCGAGCCGAAGAATGCCACGGATACAGTTCTCGAAACGAAGTTCTCTATTCGTATCCCTTCTTATTCTAGGAAGTTCCTTTCCGTTAAAAATTACTCACTCACATGGGACTATAATATTGTAATAATATAGTTGTATAAGCCCTAATATCGCTATTGAAATAATGTCAGCGCGGTAGGAAGAAATTATACTGACTTTCAGGTTGGAGATCTTTATTTACCTAAACAATCTTAGTTTTATATACTACTTTAATCTAGGAGAGGGATAGTAAGGGTACGTGATAAGTAAATGCTAAAGAAGCACGTTCATTGAATTTGTATTATTTGCATACTAGAGCATTTCAACCAAATCACGTTTGTAACGTGATTCTTAATATTTGCTTACTACACTATCTTTATTATGTATAAGTAAAAAACAAAAAGGAATCCTCCCGATCGGCCAGATGTACGAAACATGTATTATCAACTCGTTTTATTTATTCTTTGAGACATAATACTCGGTGACCGGTCAGGTGCGCGCGACCGGCCAGCCGGGCGGCAGCGGCGCGGCCGAGGGCGGGGCGCTGCGCACGCTGCAGCTGCAGCAGCTCGCGCTGCGCCGCGCGCCCCCGCAGCCCGCGCAACGCGCCCCCGCCCCCGCGCCCGGCACCGGCGCCCCCGCCCCCGCCCCCGCCACCGCGCGCCCCCACCACGTGCTGCTGACGCACATCACGCCCGCCGCGCCGCCCGCGCCCCGCCCGCCCGACGCTAGACAATAAATAAACTGCATCATCCACATCCGCATGCGCCTTATTATTTCGTTATCCTCCCCGACCCTCCGCGTCTGGTTACGAACTTTATTATTCAAATGAAAAATCCCGATGCTTAGACGAAACCGTCTAATGAAACCTGATTTCTCGAACCCGCCGTGTTAGTAGTAATAATTTATTCATAGAACTCCGTCTTCCGTGACACTCTTCGGTGTTTCCTCCCCGAACGCGAGGGGACTTCGTCCTGGTTCTGGAAATCGAGTTCTGTTCTAAGCTGACCTACAAATATATATTTTTTTCAATTTTCAGAAGCAATATAAGTGATACACGAGAGTAAATATTACGTTATTATTACGTTTCTTAAATGAGATGACTTATGTAATATAAAATTAAAAAATTATTTTAACATTAATAATTTAAAATTATAACTTTTTATTATATTTGATAAATTTTTTATGGTTTAAAAATGACATTCACTAAACAAGAATATGATTGTCCAACAGAAAATTTTTTGTTCTTTAGTTATTTTTTCAGTTTTAATACGTACTGTGGCATCGTGACTTCAGTTGTCGCCGTCGCAAACAAACTAAATCAAAATACGATCTCACTCTGAAGTGAGGTGTATTTTCTTCGGCCATTTTTAAGATTCCAACGGGACATCCAGTTGAATTGTTGATTTATTTGTTCGTATGGCACATAAATGTACAGAGTCGCTTATGTATTGTTGATCGAGGATTGTTTCGAAAGAAACGGAAAATACAAGATGGAAATAATACAATGATTCCCGTGACTATCGGGTGTTAAAGCACCGCGTAAAACTTTTAGAAGTAGATTAATACAAAACTCATCCATCAAATTTTTGAATAAAAATATCACGTTTTTTATTTGCGCAAATAAAAACTACTGACTTGGCATAGTTTATACATTTTTATTAGAAATGTTCTCGATCCCGGTCATCAGGTGGATGCCGCCTCCGCCGACTTCTCAAAAGCTTTCGATAAAATAAACCAGCGGATCGTCGTCGGTGTTCACGCCTCAGACCAAATACAAAGTATAGACGGAGTTTTGTCTCACGTAACTATTGGAGAAAACTTACATTGTCAGTAATTTAAAAATTAAATGTAAGTAATTGCTTGGAACACAAAACCTCAGCCAAATATGACCATCGTTAAACGTTATTATTTACCCCCAAATCAGGTAACTTTAATTTTATAACGAGTTATTTCTAACAAAACACAAATTACGTTATGTATTTTTTTCTTGTTGTATGGAAATGATATTTAATAAATTTTGCATTTAAATTACTAAATAGAGGTCTAGATCATAGACATTGAAGTGTTATAATAAGGAAGTAAAAAATAAAAACGGGTTTAATTTTTTACTTATTTATTTTTACTAAACGGGTTTGCATACATTTTTTCATTTCCAAACCAACATCAAAATGTGAAAGTTAATTGGATTTTATTCATTCCTAATAGTCGAAATGAGCCTTCATGGAATCTAACGCGCAGCGTAGTTTGTTCGACTCATTTTAAGAGCGATAATATGTATTTTACTATAAAAGGGTTACGTCAAATAAAGCAAAACTCATATCGGAAGGTTTCAAACTTTCTATATATTAAAATTTCAGTTAACATAGTGAAAGTTTTCAAAATTAAAAAAAAAAAATTTTGTTCCTGAAATCAAAATAGATTTCGCTACGGTACGTTCTCGATTTCTCCATGACAACCAATCCGGTTTTCTTTCATGTTTAAAAGTAAATTAGTTTTCAAAACTCATATTCTATTTGTACTTTGTCGTGTTTGTATTAATATCTAAGTTTCGAACTTTTCAAATTTCAGGTTTTTTTAATATGTCAGTTAAAAGGAACGGAAATGAATGTCGTCGGTCCATTCGTTTCCTGCAACAATGAACTTTCGATAGAGTCGCCATCTAGGGGAGGTACATTTTGAGTGCTCTCGTTTTTTTTTTTTAAATACTTCCTCATTGCTAAAAATCGGCTTCACTTTGTTATTCAGCGAACTCCATCTTTACTTTTTATTTGGTCTTCACGCTCGCCCGAGAAACGGACCGATAGTAATAACATAATATTAAGACGAAGAAAGGATTCGGTCACACGTCGGCGGCGCGCCCCCTGTCGCAGTGCACGGCGACCAGTCGCATCTCGCGCAGCAGCGCCGCGACCGGCCGCGTCGCGTCGCCCAGCGCCAGCGCGAGCGGCCGCAGCGCCCCGCGCAGCGCGCGCCCCACGTTGGCCGCGAACGCGAGCGGCGGCTGCAGCAGCGCGTTGAACGCGAGCGTCAGCGCCGGCTTCAGCGCGTAGTCCGACGCCGTCTGCACCACGCCCGTCACCGCGTCCCGCGCGATCGTCAGCGCGCACCTCCACACCGAACGTTATACTGTACTCCGTGCCAGATACGCGGGCAATATTTATTATGGACAAAAAGAACAAATCGTACGGATCCTATCGCTACAAGGGACCGATTAGACGTATCGTGGTACAGGACAGTGTTCGAATTCAGAGTTTGACACGTATCATAAACCTTTTCTTTTTCACGTAGTAGTTTATAAATGCCGATGACGCAATTTGACCGTATAAAATATGCAAGTTAATGAAGCTTGATCTAATTTCTCTTTCTGAATTTTTAGCCCAATAAAATACGAAATTATTTTTAAATACACCTTTGTTTACATTAAATAGCAAAAGATGCTTCCCATCATAGTTTATGGTTTATGAGCTTTATTTCTATTCCACTAGATATTTTATATTTTAATTGTTTGCCACTGTACAGTGCGTTGTGCGTTTTACATCAGTTGTTCCCGATCACCATGGATCATGTAGAATACAACTTTATAGCACCAGCTAAGGCGGTGGTGATGTAACTCCAAATAAATTATGTTGGATTTTTAAAGTTTTTATTCACCACTCACATGTGTAAAAAGTAATAAAAGATAAGCACAAAAGTACAGACAATGCTGTAGAATAAAGAAGGCGAACGTGAGCAAAAAAGAAATATGAAACTATTTCAGGTTGACATCTAATAATATGAACAATAAATTTGAATTAAAACAACGCGTGCTACATGCATCTCAATAATAATAATCTGTGGACGCGACTCTCGTATTTCGCGGGCTACCTCACGCATGCGCGAGCCGCGACGCCGCGCCGCGCGGTCTCACGCCTGCGCAGTAACCGCGTCCCGAGCTAGTGCGAGCGCCAAAATTATATACAAAGAAACTAGATGTGTTTGTCCTTGTGTAACACATTCAAACAAATACATTAAATATTATTTCTTAAATTTAACATGTTAAACAATTTTATATATTATGTTATTGAGTATTTGTACATATAATTTAATTAAATATAATATTTTTTTTATAATGTTTACTTTGACAATTATTTTATCTTATGCATATACATTTATTTATATGTAGGTACACTACATCACCCCCTTCCAGAGACCGTCCTACGGGCGATAATAATCTGGAAATTGAACCCGACGACCTGATTTAGTAATTTTAGGAATGTTATCAGTGGCAGGTAAGTCATCACATACTTTATGTGTAGACGAATGAGAGTGATTGTGTGAGTATGAGTTGTTTGAGATATGAGGTGTAAATGTTGTGGTATCTGGATCACGCAGTATGTATGCTGGTTTTAATCTGTCAATCGAGACAGTCACTGGTTTACCATTTATTGCAATTTTAAAAACTTTGTCACCTCGTTTTAGGACTTCGTGAGGTCCGGTATATGCTGGTTTAAAAGAGCCAGCCCCTGCGTCATCGCGAAGGAAGACATGAGAAGCAGTGGTCAAGTCTTTGAATATGAATGGAGAGCGTGAACGACCATGACGCGAAGCTGGAGACGGTTGCAAGTTTTTAGTGAACATGTGAAGACGTCCTACATAATCTGTCATGTCGATTGTGTTATCTGTACCTGGTTGAAAAAAATCTCCTGGCAGACGTAGTGGTTCTCCATATAGCAATTCAGCAGAAGATGACTTTAAATCTTCTTTATAGGTGCTACGAATACCTAATAAGACAAGAGGAAGAGACTCTACCCAACTGCTGCCAGTGTGGCAGGTTATTGCAGCTTTAAGTTGCCTGTGAAACCTTTCCACTAACCCGTTGCACGACGGATGATAGGCAGTGGTACGCTTATGTTGGAAGCCGGCAATATCAGATAGGTGCTTGAACAATGCCGATTCGAATTGTCTCCCGCGATCTGTAACAATCTGTGTTGGACAGCCGAAGCGAGAAATCCATCCACTTAAAAGAGACCTCGCTACAGTTTCCGCTGTAATGTCGGATAATGGTATTGCCTCAGGCCATCGTGTAAAACGGTCAATGGCGGTAAGACAATACCTAAATCCATGCGAAATGGGTAATGGTCCTATTAAGTCTATGTGTATGTGCTTGAATCTAGCGGAAGGCAGCACAAAGTTTCCAATAGGCGATGAAACATGTCGAGTGACTTTGGACCGTTGACAAGCCATACAAGAACGAACCCAATTTTTGCAGTCTCTACGAATCCCTGGCCAAACAAAACGATCAGAAACTAATTTGACAGTAGATCTCGTACCTGGGTGACTAAGCGAATGTAGGCTCTCAAACACATGGCGACGTAAATCTTTTACAACAAATGGACGTTTAGTATCACCTCTTACATCGCAAAATAATTCAAGATCAGTTCCAGGCAGTTTCACTTTTTCAAGGCGCATAGATGTATCGGAGTTTAAAAATGATTTTAATTCGTCATCTGAACTTTGCATGATGGCTAGCTTTTCTATGTCAACAGGTTTTACTATTTCATCAACGCGTGAAAGAGTATCAGCTACTAAGTTGTTTTTGCCAGCAATATGCCTTATGTCGGTGCAAAATTGAGATATAAAATCTAAGTGGCGGAACTGTCTGGGCGAACAATTAGCTTTATGGGAATGAAATGCAAATGTAAGGGGTTTGTGATCTGTGTATATCACAAAATCGCGAGCTTCTAACATATGCCGAAAGTGTTTGATAGCCTCGTATATGGCTAATAACTCCCGGTCGTATGGAGAGTATTTGGTCTGAGATGGGGACAACTTACGGGAAAAGAATCCCAGTGGCTGCCAGACGTCATCTTTGGACTGTTGTAAAACGGCTCCGATAGCAGTGTCTGATGCGTCCGTGACTAAGGCCAATTTTTCCTTACAATCAGGATGCACCAGCATAGCAGCTCGACAAAGATCTTCTTTACACTCTTCAAAAGCTTCCAGTTCGTGGGCAGATAAATTTACAGGGTGAGAACCTTTTACCGATCCAACCAGAAGAGCGTTCAACGGTGCTTGATGTTGAGCAGCTTGTGGAATAAACCTGCGATAAAAATTCACCATACCGAGGAATCTGCGTAATTCCCGAACTGTTTTTGGAGCGGGAAAGTTCCTAATAGCCGTAACCTTTTCTGAAGGTGGTTTGACGCCCTCAGCCGAAACATGATAGCCTAGAAACGTGACTTCAGATGCTCCAAATGTACATTTTGCAGTATTAATGACCATGCCATACTCGTTTAATCTGCCAAATACCTGATTAAGATGATCTTGATGAGTTTTCTGATCGACAGAAAAGACCAAAATATCGTCAATATACGGATAAACGAAATCTAAGCCCCGCAGCACTTCGTCGACGAACCGTTGAAACGTTTGTCCGGCGTTACGAAGTCCGAACGTCATGTACGGGAACTCGTATAGGCCGAACGGCGTCGTGATTGCAGTTTTCGGTACGTCGCTGGGATTAATCGGGACCTGGTTATAGGCCTTCACAAGGTCAATGGTGGAAAATACAGTGCAGCCAGAAAGATTATAGTCAAAGTCCTGTATATGACGTATAGAGTACCTGTCGGGAATAGTTCTCGCATTCAGCATCCGGTAGTCTCCACAGGGACGCCAGCCGTCATCCTTTTTCGGTGCTAGATGTAGAGGAGATGACCATGGAGACTCTGATGGTCGACAGGTACCAATCTGTAACATGGCCTCAAATTCGGCCTTAGCAATTTTAAGCCGATCAGGTGCTAATCGACGTGGTGAGCAAGATACAGGTGGTCCAGGTGTTGTGCGTATGTGATGTACAGTGTTATGTTTTACTGAAGCATGTAAGCCAGAAGGACGAGTAATGTTGGGATATTCAGCTAGTATGCGATGATAAACAGTGTCACCAGACATTACTTTCACAGAAAAAATATCAAAATTTTTGGCAAGCAAAGCCGAGGTACTAAGCGTAGTATTAGCATCTATTAGGCGTTGATTACGCACATCTACAACTAAATTATAATAAGATAAAAAATCAACACCTATTATCGCTCGTGTTACGTCTGCGACAATAAATCGCCAAGCATAGTCACGGCGCAAGCCAATATTTAAAACAAAATGAGCGTACCCGTATGTATGAATCGTTGAACCGTTAGCGGCGCATAATTCATAATTGGTTTTGTGACGATGCTTGCTGATTAATTTTTTGGGGAAAACACAAATGTCGCTACCTGTATCAACTAAAAATTGTATTTTAGTACGACTGTCTGTTACAAATAAGCGACCGGAGTTTGGACAGGCGTCGGTCGCCATTACGATCTGCCCTACACTTTTCCCGAATAATCACAAGGTTTCACGCACTTAGTAGCCTTATCACTGAATTTACAATGATACCAACACACAGGAAATTTTTTATAGTTGGACTGTGACCGTCGGTGATGTGAATTTTCACGGGAACGATCGTTAGGGGTAAATCTTCGTCGTTGTCGCGACATCCTTTCTACTTTCTTGTTCAAAAATTGTATCTGTCGTGTGAGCTCGGCGATTTGGTTGGACGTATCGGTAGAACTTCCAGGTGTCACCGATGCTGCTGCTACTTGTGGGCTTGGTGGGACGATGTCATGGATTTTATCTGCCAGCTCCGCGACTTCCTCCAGGGATGCTTTCACTTGAGATGCTATTATTGACTGCGTACTACTTGGCAGGCGGCTGGTCCAAATTGTCTTTAGAAATTCCTCAGGAATCTCTGGCCCTGCGAGGTGTTGAAGGTGACGTAGGAACTGTGACGGTTTCCTGTCGCCCAGCTCTTCGTGTATGAGTAATTGTTTCACCTTCTTTTCCCTCGATGCGGACAGACGTTTAATAAGCTCCGTCTTTAACCGCTCGTAATTGTACGGTGATGGTGGTGCCGATATTATGTCTTCAACTTCCGATGCGTAGACAGGGTCCAATTGACTGATGGCGTAGTGGAATTTAGTAGCATCCGTGGTTATATTTGCCAGATAAAATTGGCTCTCTAGCTGTGCGAACCATAACGCCGGCTTCTCTGGATAAAATGGCGGAACCCGTACACCAACACGATGAACATCACTCGGCGGATTTGATGCTTCGCTTTGCTCCGATGTCTTCGTAGGCTCACTCATGATGTGCTCAATCGGGGTCACCAGTGAGGCGGTGGTGATGTAACTCCAAATAAATTATGTTAGATTTTTAAAGTTTTTATTCACCACTCACATGTGTAAAAAGTAATAAAATATAAGCACAAAAGTACAGACAATGCTATAGAATAAAGAAGGCGAACGTGAGCAAAAAAGAAATATGAAACTATTTCAGGTTGACATCTAATATGAACAATAAATTTGAATTAAAACAACGCGTGCTACATGCATCTCAATAATAATAATCTGTGGACGCGACTCTCGTATTTCGCGGGCTACCTCACGCATGCGCGAGCCGCGACGCCACGCCGCGCGGTCTCACGCCTGCGCAGTAACCGCGTCCCGAGCTAGTGCGAGCGCCAAAATTATATACAAAGAAACTAGATGTGTTTGTCCTTGTGTAACACAATCAAACAATTACATTAAATATTATTTCTTAAATTTAACATGTTAAACAATTTTATATATTATGTTATTTGGTATTTGTACATATAGTTTAATTAAATATAATATTTTTTTATAATGTTTACTTTGACAAATATTTTACTTTATGTATATATATTTATTTATATGTACTTTACTAGATTCTAGAATCGTATTAAAAGTATCGATAACTAAAGGTAAGACAAATAAGTGTTCTTACGCTTCCACGCCTAACCAACTGAACTCATCCTAATGAAATTTAATATCGCAATAGACTTAACCTTACGAAAACACATGGGCTACCTTTAACCGCGAAGAAGAGGTGGAGGAAATAGGGAATGAAAGTTTGCATGGAAATTTGTCAATATCAAAATTTGTTTTTAAGCATTGATAAGTATAAATAAATATTTGATATCTGAAGTATTTTAAAAGAAAAAGAATTCTGCTCAAAGAGACTATACCACGCATATGAAATCGCGGCCAAAAGTATTTATACCTATACAGGGAGCAACAAAATGACCGACACAGCCGAAAGTTTCAAGTTAGGTTATATGTAAACGTTAATTTTATTTGACAAATATTTCAAAATAGAGGAGGTGTAAAAATGGAGTAAAAATTTTAAATTTCTAAGTGTTGAGAGCCCTATAACAACGGACCGCGAAATACATTAATTTAATTTAATTATTTACCGATATCTTAATGTTAGTCGATGCAGAAAATATCCAATTCTTAAGACAGCTAAGCACGTTCTTTTGCATGCCAGTGCATGCACGCGCAAAACACATCACATTTCACACAAAACTAAAAAAAATCTTCACTAAACTAAACTTAACATTCAAGACGAACACTGTAGTATCTTATTAACAAAAATTGAATTAAAAATGCACTAGAACAAAACAAAAATCGATAAAAAGTCGCTTCGCAGCGGTACGGTAACAGTGATGCAGTAACGTGCCTCACGCGCAAATGTCCGGCGGTGACTGAAACAAAGGCGCCGACCAGGGCTGCCAACTCTAAAAAATTATTTCTGCTAATTCGGCAAAACTTTTGAGTCAAAACGTCAACACTGGCTGTAGGATTCAAAATGCGTCGACTAATTGATTCCGTTAAGCAAATAAGGTCATTATACAGTTTAGTTATGTCAACATCGTTATTTTCAAAAAGTTTATTTACCTTTTGGACTTCTTGAACAATTGGCTTGATATAAATGATATATAAATGGTTTACGGGATCATTGTACATGTTAAACAACATTTCCGCCATATAACAATGTTCTCTGCTTCTAGTAACTTCAAACAACAGTTTTAATTCTTCCCATTGTTCCAAAATGCGAACCACAGCTGGCTCGATAGATATCCATCTAGTGTTGCATAATCTAGGGATTTTAAGGGGGTCTGATCCACAGTTCATAGTTTTATATAATTCCTTGTAATACATTTGCCGCTTCGAAGAATAACTAAACCAGTTATAAGTTTCACGTATTAGAAAATCTATATTTCGAGGTAGTGTCTGTTCGGAGGCATGTGATATTGCTAATTGTAAGGAATGACAAACACAACGTATTAATACCAAGTTATCTTTGCCAGTTTCAGTTTTCAGCAATTGATGAACACCATTGGTGGTTCCTGTCATAACGGTCGCGTTGTCCGTACCGATGCCAATAATATTTTTTATATCCAAATTCAAACCAGAAAGCAATAATTTTAAGCCATTTACTATACCGTTGGCTGTTCCGTCTTCAAGTTCCACTAATCCTAAAAACGTGGAAACAATTTTCTTCAATGCTAAGCTAAAATATCTAACTGTCACGCCTAATAATTTGCTTATTGAAATGTCGGTTGATTCATCAATCAATATACTGTATTCTTGATCTCCAATGTCGTTTACTAATTCTTGATAAAAATGTGGTGCCAATATGTTTTTAATTACATTTGTGCATTTTGTCCTGTGTAGTCGTAAGTCAGCACTTTGGCTATCGCTGAATCTAGTTTTACATAGTTGTGATAAATGATCGGCGCTTAAAATTGAAGTATGTTCACATATGAATAAAGCAAGTGTGCTTTCAGCTTTTTGCGTATTGAGATTTTTTACTATTTTCGGGAACTCTATTTTTTTTGTCCTCTTAATGGCTCCATTGCTTTTATGTGTTTGGAAGATGTAGCATGCTGTTGTAAGCAATAATATTTTGCCACAATTTGGGATTTGCAATGCTTGCAATACGCTTTTGTGGTGTCATTGTCGACCCGCTGAAGCCAATCTTTAAAATCGGACATCATTTCCCACTCTACACGATAATGTTGGTTATATTTAGGAGGCATCGTCAATTTAATAAACTTTTAGATTTTTTGGTAACCTGGCGCAGTCAAACTGAATTTTTTCAAATAATGTCAACACAAACGAACCAAGTGCACAACGAATATTTATCTACTTAAGCGGGATTCCCCTCACCAAAGACTCATTATAATCAAGCGGAATTTATCTAACCAAAGACTACTCTATGACTATAAATCTACGATCACTCTTAGGTTGCGTTCAGAAACATTACCTCCTACGGTCGCGTTTATGAGCTTTAAGTATTTTACTTTCAGCAAAATGCTAAAAAATATGCTATATGCTAAACTTAATTTAATTATGCCAAATCACTTGAAAACATGCTAAATTTAGCCATAAAAATGCTAAATTGGCAGCACTGGCGCCGACGCCGATGGAACAAACAAGCCTCGCGCACGGTGAGTGAATGGAGTGAAGGAGACCGGTTCGCTTTGCCTTTGATAACAAGGGACGAATTCAGTTTATCTATTTTTTAGTAATATCTCCGAAACTATTTGACCTAGACATATATATTTTTTTTCATCATATTAAAGACAAATAGTACTCTCCAGGAACCTCGGGAGTGTCGGTCGTTCTGTTCCACCGAGTATATAATGGAGTCAACTGATCTTACAATGACTATAGTTAAATCATGACATTTAAAACAGTAGGATGGTTGATTTAAATGCCACCGTAAAGTTCATTTAGCATATTAATTCTCCGCTAACACGGCACTAATTTCGATTTGTTGACGAAATGACGTCAACGATTGGTCTACCTCTGTAATCTCTTGAAGTTGTTTTTACAAAATTTCGAAGAAAAATTGCACGATTATAAATTTAAACATCAAGTACTAGCACATCATTAGTAATTTTATTTAAATGTTACAGATATTTTTAGTTATTGTATGTGAATAATGCTTATAATTCCTAAATTAGTAAGGGTATAAGATTTTACATCTGATAATAGTTATCCGATAGTTGTAAAAAATGCTTTCGTCCTACCGCACTTTATTATGGTTTATGTAAAATGACCTTGTCAGGTCATTATTTAGGGGACTTATAAGGGAACGAACCCAATATTTTTGCGTTCCAAAATTATCATCGTACCTAGCGTGAGTGATGTCTAGCTTCAAAAAAAAGTTGCCCTAAAATGCGCAGCTCCGATCCGGCAAAAAACGGACAAGTGCACAAGCTATAATATTCTGAACCGGATAAAATCGGATCACCGGATCTGTAAATTCAGTGTAGTGCACAAACGCCCAATCGAGTGCAATCCTCATCATACAACAGTCCACGATAGCGAAAAGGACGGTCTACAAGAGAAGAAAAATCCACCTCTCGAGCGCGACGAGCAGCGCGAGGGGCACGGCGCACAGCAGGCGGCCGGCGGCGGGCAGCGGCGCGGGCAGGCGCGCCCCCCGCCGCGCCCAGCGCTCGCACGCGGCGGCCGCGGCGGGGGGCGCGGCGCCCGCCTCGCTCGTCGCCAGGTACTCGTCCGGCCCGCGCTCGAAGTAGTACACCTCCACCCGGGCCGGCCCTGAACCGTCGGATACTGATCGAACCGCCTCGTATAATCCGCGCTTTCGCCCGCGCAGGGGACCGGCCGCATCGCGATTTTTATTCGCGCGGATTTTATTTCGTAATGAAGTGACGCCTTGTCCGCGTCATTTTTGTCAGTTTTATGTGCCCCCGGTCGAGATGAACGTCTAAAAAACCGTACCGGAAACGAGCATAACGATCACGTCTGTTGTATGGGCTCCCATAATGAATATTTATTATGATCTGGTTTTTAGTATTTGAAAAAATTACAGCTGTCTACATTTCACGGTTCACGTGATACAGCCTGGTGGCTAACGGTGTGCGGAATCGATTACCATTAATTGATCAATCGATTTTTCTAATAATCAGTTGCTATCGATTATGATTTCCTAATTGACGAATAACCATCGATTATTTCTGAAAACGTTAGCAATAGGAATAGTTTAAAACGTTAGTATAGCACCTACTTACTTTAATTCGATGGCTCAGCAACCCATAGCGGATCGCGAGTGTGAATATTATTAGTAGATATTCTATTACGGCAACCCTGGAATACTCCCACGAACAAATAGGTAACACACATAAAACAAATAATAAATTCTAATGCAGAACAGAACGAGTCACAGTCGGGGCCCAATCAAATCTTCCCAAGGGGGCCCGACTGTGAGTCGTTCTGTTCTGCATTAGAATTTATTATTTGTTTTATGTGTGTATCGATTATAAAACTATTTCAATTGTGTAGTTATTTAGTAGGTATTACTTAACAAAATTCAAAACTACTGGGCTTGTTTTTTTTCTTTTTAGTTTTTATTTAACTTAATCTTTTCATGTATTTTTTAAAATTTGTTTTTACGCAGTCGGATTTTTTTTATGCATTGGCAGTATAAAAAATTTAATATTGATTTCATCATTTTAGACGGCGGCCGAGTAGTGCTAATGCACGACTGAGCAATCGCGAAAATCTGTAGTTTAGTAATTTCTTTTCCGCAAGTAAATAAAGTGGCGATGCGGTCCCGTCCCTAAATTATGACTTCCTATGGGTCGATTCCGAACGAACTAAGTCGCGGGAAAACAGATAGTGATGAGTAAACTCTAAAGTGACTTGACAGATTTCAATAAATCTTTAGCCGATGCGACGATCCAGCATCACAGTATATGGTATCACAGTACCTATTTGGTAATTAAGAACTTACCGTTCTCGCTCTCGTCGAACTTTGCAGTACTTATATTGTTCATAATTCTCCAACAAGAATGCTTCTGTATCTTCTGAAAAATTAAATAAAATATACTCGTTTAGTTAAAACTAAACATTAGTTCAATTTCTACAGGTTTAATTAAAAATATCTTGAATAAATTTGGCACTTTGTAGGAACCCGCCGTGCGATTGTATCTCAAATATTTTAGTTTAAGATGGCATAGTACTAAACATATGATGTATGATCGTTAGCCTCGGGTGTAGCGGGCCCGTGTTTGCTGTGGTCGCGGTTGTCGCAGTGGTCGCAGTGGTCGCAGTGGTCGCAGTGGTCGCCGTGGTCGCCGTGGTCGCCGTGGTCGCCGTGGTCGCGGTGGTCGTGGTGGTCGCAGGCGTCGTCCGCCGATGTCGCGCGCGCACGCTCCCTGCACGCGTCACCAACATTACATTACTGCACCATGATTAATATCATCACTTAATAGCTAGCTTAAATATGGAACGTGACGTTTGCCTACGATGTAAACCGTGGACACATTACATTCGAACCGTACCGATCCATTCGCGGTTTTGCACGTACCCGAGGATGTGCGCTCTGAACTTTACGTGTGGAAGCCCTTCGCGTGTCACAGATTAAAGCTGCTTTCAAAAACCAGGATGTAAAATTGGAAACCCGACACGATTCAGTTTTAGAAACAGCAGAGCGATTCTGTAAAAATACGAGCCCGAATTTAGATTCACTCGTGTGTCCGAATTCGCGTTATTTTTGTATAAAAATACAAAACCAAAGTGATTGAATATACGTGTCTCAGATATTCTACGCTTATGTCATTTAGAAACTTACTTCACTAATGCCACGAACCGTTATTACCAATTCAAGATTGAGCGGATGCCGTTTTTTCCAGTGAATTCGGTCACTTGAGTGAATACGAATTCAGGTTTGGATTTTTACAGAATCGCAGGGCAGGACAGTAATAAACACTATAGTTACGTTTACAATGAAAAAGTAACTATATAAATCTTTCTTTGCTTTGCCCAAACAAAAAATACTAGCTATACCTCCGCTTCAAAAACGCGTCATCGATTTTAAAATACATTAAGTTTAGAATGCCAGCACATCATTAACAAAATACACCACGGTCGACCACTCTATCGAAGATATCTAAGTCAAATATTAGCTTACAAAGTTTACTTATTTCGCTCATGTGCTGTTTTTATTTGCCGTATGTAGATAATCGATCGTGTCGTTTCAAGTTCTAGCATAAATATCATTCGTTCAAGTTCGACCAATAATTTATAAATTTGAACGCTTCTAAGCGTTGCAGTGAATGACATTGAGTATTAGTGTAAAAATCCCAAAAAGTCAAAAATGTAATAAAACACAAGGTTTTATGGCAAAGGTTATTTATTCAAATAAACGTTGAAGTATATAAGTATTTGGTAAAAGAACTTACATATGCGATGTAGAAATATATGTAAACTATCACATATATAGGGCACACAAACGTCATTGCCATCTAGCGATCATAAATATATACAAACTGACAACCACAGACATTATCAAAGGACATTACTTAACAATTAGCCTCTCAACAGCGGCCCCGCTGCCCGCCCGCGCGCCGCGCGACGGTATCACCAGTGACGCCGGCACCAGCAGCGCGGCATCCGCGCACCCGCCGCCCTCGCTGTCGACGTTGCCGTCCGCGTTGATAGCTGTCGCCATCTGTACAATTCATAATCAAAAAATCACTTCCCCCACTGGCGCAACATACCAGAGAATACCGCTCTAATCTCTCCTACTATGGCATTCTTAAAATATACACATTTTGTAAGAAATACTAAAAGTGACCTTAGATTCACAAATAAAACCTAAAAGTAACAGGTAGTATTGGGCATGGGCTCCGCCAGGATTATTTTCAGGAGATGCAGTGCGACCAATCTATCTATAATATATAACTACAATTGAGTCATAATAATACGCCACATTTGACGTCTAATTTTTTTTTTAAGTTCAAATCGGTATGTTTTCTTATTTCTTTTGATTATTAAAATATATTTATTGTCATATTAAACAAACAAGACGAGTTTATGTTTAACTTTGATTGATAAAGCTTTATTATATTTGATCAATTTTGCATTCACAATGCTGAATATTGAAGAAAATACACTCTGTAGTAGCGAAAAAATAACAAATGCTTGGAAAATTTGTTAGTCCAGTTAGGTCCTGGGTAGCTCGGTGGTTAGAGCTGAGAAAGGTCATGGGTTCGAAACCCATCCCAGAGCGCTAGGGACAAAGAGGATTTTTTAAGCATTTTTCACTAAGAATAATCCTTTGTCCGTTACTCCAAAATCACATAAAAACTTATCTGACCGATTCTCAGCATGGCTTTGTGAAATGTCGATCTACCGCCACAAATTTAACACTATTTACTGAAATAGTAGCTGAAGCCATGGATACTGGCAAAGAGGTTGACGTAATTTATACTGACTTCAGCAAGGCGTTTGACAGGGTTCCTCATGATATTCTCTTATATAAGCTCAAGGCTTATGGCATGGTAGGCCCCTTGCTGGAATGGTTAAATTCTTACCTAAGTAATCGAAGTTTCTACGTAGTTGTTAATGGATTCAGCTCCGCTCGATACTGTGTAACATCTGGCGTTCCGCAAGGCTCACATTTGGGTCCGCTATTGTTCACTATTTTTATCAACGACATATCCGAGTGCTTTCAACATTCTAGAGCTTTTATGTATGCCGATGACTTAAAGCTAGTTTCGAATTGTGAAACCGTTGATGATATGAAGTTAATACAGGGTGACATAAACCGGCTAGTCAAATGGAGTCAATTCAATGATTTGGATTTAAATATTGATAAATGTTACCACATGAAGTTCACTAGAAAAAATGTGTCTTTTAATACTAAATATAAAATAGGTTCTGAAAGGATAAAAAACATAGACGAAATAAAAGACTTGGGGGTTATATTCGACAGAAAATGTTAAACCCTTGATATTTGAAGCTAGGATAGTTTCATAACTATTAACTATCAATATTCCCATTGTTGTTATTATCATTTAGTAACCTTTTGACATACTAAGTTCACTTATCAATTTGTTAACAAACAGGCATCTGTTTTCCTATGGGAAACAATAATATTATGATTACATATTTTAAAAAGGGCCATCTGTTCTTAAACCCATTTCGAGGTAAACTATCTTAATTACTCTTTTACTAATATTTACAACAGACACCCTTTGTGCTCCCGCGACGTCACCATATGCCCTTGTGCTCCCACGACGTCACCATATGCCTGATTGTACTGAATATAAATAGGACGCTGTAAAATTATTAGTTAGTTCTTACTCAACCACCAACTACGAAAGATGTAGCTAGGTTTATTATAATAAATACATTTTTAAAAAGTCTTCCCGTCGTCTAAATTGTAACAAAAACTGACCTTTATTCCGCACATGGAAAATATATACAAAAGAGGGAATAGGATGTTAGGATTCGTGATTCGTAACACTAAGGAATTTAAAAATAGTAAAATAAAGGTTTTGTTATTCAGTAGCCTTGTTCGCGCTTTGGGGGAGTATTTTAGTGTGGTCTGGAGACCGCACTATCTATGCTACACATTCTTTGAAGTTAGAGCGACTACAAAGAAAATTCGTTTCTTATTTGTCATTTAAGGAAAGAATCACTAAGAGTATTAGATCCTACGAAAAAAGGTTAAATTACTTTGGATTACTATCACTGGCTAACCGTAGGAAATTGTTGGATCTATCATTTGTTTTTAAAGTTTTTAATGAGAAAATTGATTGTCCTCCTCTTCTTCGCTTGTTTAAATTTAGAGTTCCCAGTAGATACCCCCGTTACCCAATGCCGCTCCTGTGCCCACCATATCGTAAGTCGCAGTTAGGTGCAAATTCACCTATTCCAAGACTTTGTAGACTCCTAAACGAAAACAACAGCATCATTGATGTACATGGTGACACATTTGCCAGGATCAAATCGATTTTGTTTGAGACATGGAAACAATGCCCTCAATAGGTAACACTTGTAATTGTACTATTAGAGTGGTACTATGTTAAGTTACTTAATTTTAATGTCAATTAATGGTTCAAGAATATAATAATTATTGAATATTAATCAAAAGTTGTTTCGTACACCTTAGTTAAGAAAATAATAGTTATTTATTTGTTCTAAGCATGCGGTGTTTACCTGTAATTGTTCGTTACATATATGCATGTGATACATCTTTTTACAATCTTTAGTACGTAAACCTTTCTAAAAATAATATAAAATATATTTTCCGCCACAAAGTTGCGTCTATTGACCCCTACGGACCCCTATTGACCCGTTGTCTTTATAACACTATAGTTGTATCCAGAAAATCGGAAAGATTTCATGGTCTCCTCTGAAGCTGATTTTATAATAAAAATCATATTCATTACAATCCGATATCTAATTTATAAGAAATTGGTGGAAAAACAGCGACACGCGTACATATGGGCTCCACCAAGCAAAAACTCGGTAATCGAAAAATCAAAATTTTACAGGAGAAAAATTTACTGACTTTATCGAATATCTTTTCAGCTAATGCGAATATTGGAGTCACTGATGTTTCAAATAAAATTTGTTTTTTTTTGTGAAATATAACTGTGCTATTAGTATGAATTTCTCTTTAATCAAATCCTAGTTTTTTTAGAAACCATAATATTTACCTAAAATTATATTCGTTTTTTAATATTTTTTTTATAAACATACCATGTATGGTAAGAGAAAAATAGATAATCACTTGTCACACATACTCTGATAGTGCTGTTTTACTTCTTACTACCTAATTAGGTGCACGGCTCGGCACCAACGTCAAAAAATTTTTTGGCGTATTAGAAAAAGTGTTACGACTTCATTGAAGATAAAATGTTTGTGGTATTATTTCTCTCTTCTCGGCAGGGCCGCCACATGGGGGGGGCAAGTGGGTACTGTTGCCCCGGGCCCGGGCCCAGGGGGGGCCCGGTCCGGTCCTGTATTTAGTAAATAAAATATT